TGACATATATTTGTTAAATCTAAAATAATTCAAAAATAATATTAATGTTTGTAAATATCTAGAAAGTAAAATATTTATATGATTTTGATATACTTTTTGGTTTAATATTTTTATAATTGTGTAAAATTAATTTTTTAATTGATCATTTCTGTTACCAGTTTCTGTGGATTTTTTAAGCTTAAATTTTTAAATAAGACATTTTAGAATAAAAGTGATTATGGAGAAAAAATGCTATGTACAAACTTTGAATGATGGAATAATACATGATTCTTTTCTTCTGTTTTGTTATACTATAAAAATTTGTTAAGTTTATTCATATAATAATCATAAAATTAACTACAAAGTCTAATAAGGAGAGGGCCAGACATTTGGGTTTGTGATTTGAACAAAACTTGGTAAGCTCATAGCCCTAAACACAAATAGCTCCTTGTGTAAATAATAGGATCCACTTCTCAAGTATTTCTGAAATATGGGCCTCAGAAAGTTGAATGTTTAACTTGTGTGTTTGAAAGTTCACCTCTTCTTGGAACATTGATGGCTGAGTGGATAAATTGTGATGTCATTTTGATGAGACGTAACTCAATTGCGAGTGCTGCTGGTGACTTTTGTCAAGCACTTCACTTGTGACTATAATTCTAAAATTACCAATTTGATTAACAGGTTTTTTTTTTGTTTGTTAAAGAAGACTAACAGCTGGATAATTAACCTTAACAAGAAAACTTCAATTTTAAAGGAAATGCAACATTCTACAATTAAACAGGGAAGACCACCACTCAACAGAACCAAGTCAGTGAGCAAGCAAAACGACTTCATAGTAACAAGTTCCAAGCTAATTACGGATTATAATTTATAAACAGATAAAAATCTACCTGCTACTTCTGAGGAGAATGAGAGTATTAGTGAAGATTTAATTCAACAACACACTCAAGATCATTCAGGTGAGCCATTCTTATCATCTACCTCAGTACAGGACTCAGATAATCTGTTAGACACTTCTTCGATAGTTTTACGGAAGAAAATTTCCAATCTTATAAAAGTATCTAATGATAAAGTATTTAACCAAATTACTTATATTAAGGAGGAATTGAATTTAATCCATGAAAACCTATATGAAACCAAAGAAAGACAAACAAAGATGGAAGAATTTTACTAAATTATATCAACAGATTGACACCTTGCAGATCGAAAAAAACTTCAGACAATTTAAAATGGACAATATAACTATTGAGCATAACCGTAATAATATCATATTATACAATTATCCCATTTTGAGAGCTATTACTAAGAAAGAAATTTATAAATTTATTGTTTTATTATTAAATATTCATAATATGGTTCAAGAAGATATTTTAGAGAGAATTCAGTTAACAAAATTACCTGAATTGACTTTAAAAATAACTTTTAGTAATAATCAACTTCAAAATTCTGTCTTCTTTACTTACATTCGAAAAAAACAACAAAACCAACTTGAAGATTGGGGAGATATCCAGATATCACCAGATCTTACAAAAAATTCAAGAATCAGACGTAAAAACTTACTTTCAACGCTTTATGAAATTCAAAAAATAAATCCACAAGCTAAACTACATAACAATATTATAATAACAGGAAAAGAAAAAATTACATATAATATCAATGAGAAAAGTCTGGTTTATGTAGATTCACTTTTACCATTTTCTAACTCAAGTTCTGATAGCTGATATATTATAAAACAAAGTCAAATGCGAAGTCACTCTATTCTTGAAAATAACTATTCAATCTGTCATAAATTGGAACTGTCAGTGACTCAAACATAAAACTTCATTTGTTAATTTTATGCTGGCCAAATATAAACCGGTCATTTTTGCCATGACAGAAACTTGGATTACAACTGACAAATCTTATATATCTAACGTCTCCAATAAATTTATGATAGAAACCACTTTAGCAAGTAAATCAGCAGGTCCAGGTTGCCCAAGAGGAGGTCTTTGCATGTTGATAGAAAAAGACTACTGTAAAATAATCCAAGTAAAAAAATCTACTAATTATATTCTACTTCTTATTTCTATAAACAAAACTAAATTATTAAATAAGAATAATAATTTATTGATAATAATGCTAACTTATGTACCACCTGGTGATATAACTACAATTAATGAAATCTTCAAAAAGATCGATATATGGTACCATAAAACCCCGTACATTATTGTACTAGAAGACTTCAATTCCAGAATTGGTGAAATGATGGACATTAAATATAAGTGCTCTAATCATTTAATTCATAATTACCAAAAATNTGTAAAAGTAATATGTTTTTTTTTTTTTTTTTTAAATTTCTTTTAAAATATAAACTTAAATAAACATTGTAGAATGTATTATTGTAGATGTAGCTTTTATTTAATGACATATAAAATATATAAGATAGCATAGATATGCTATAATCATTATTATTATGGTATAACTTATTATGGTATATTATTAACTGGTATAACTTTTCTTTTTTCTAAAAACAGTTGTCACCAAACTTAAAACTTATCGTTCCATATTCCACAAGTATACTTACTTCTGCGGCAATTGGACTGTAACTGACTAATTTCTTTTACTTACTTTTTGTGATGAGATAACATTAAATAATTTACCATTATCTACAAAGTACTGGTCAGTGCACACTGCAGCATTGCAATCGCAGTGTGTGCTGGCAGATTAATGTTATAGTATGGAGTTAATTAGATTGGTTTTTGAAATAAATCAAATTTTTTTCGATGGCCAATAAAATTTTGTCATTAAGTGGTATCAATCCTTATTATTAAGGAAACTTATTATGAATATAAAAAGTTACAAGTATATCAAGTGCTTTGGCACTAAAAATAAAAAAAATTTGAAATGTGGAGTTAATCAATTTGGCTTGTGAATAGTTCATATATAAATATACATTTATAAAATAATTTAGTTTTGCTAGAGCGTCTTCATAACATCAATCATTTATCCTCAGTATATAAGAAGACATAATATGATCACATTTCAAAACTGTCTATTTAAATAGAGTTCAGTCAGATAAGTTAATGAGTAACTTTATGTTGACAACATACAGTATTTTTCATTGTATAAACATTTTCTGTTTGCAAGATTAAATTGTTTACTTAAGATACAGTTACAAGTTTTCACAAGTCATTTAACATTGCAGGAGGAAAGTTTTGAAGCCATTTTATAAATTATTGCTCTTTTAATTCATGTAAGAGTGGCCTGTAATCCTTGTAAAGTGCAAATGACCTCTGACAGATATATATTCTTGACTAAAACTCTAAAATGAAATATTTCAGTAATACAAGTTCTTGTATTACTGATTAAAATATGTATTAAAATACTGAATTATGATAATTTCTCTATTTTTCAGTAAATGTTTAAAATGGACTATTATATAATTAAATTATTTCTTTATTATAATTAAATTAACTTTATGTTCATATAATTATTACTTTAATCAATTTTATTTTAAATATTTATTTTAGCATATTCTAAATTTTGTTTTAAATATATCCTTTATCTTATTTTTTTATAATAATTTATTTCTTTTAGTGCAATATGTTTACTTTGTGAAAATTTACAAGATAGTCTTCGACACATTGAATTGGATGGAGAAGAATTAACTGACAAGAGTTATAAATGTATTGGTCAGTGTCGTCATTTAATAAAATTAGGTATATCATTTGCTGAAATGATTACAGATAGGAGTCTCATGTATTTAAAGGTATGTTTATTAATTTTGTTTAAATTTAAAATATTTTTATCTTTGTTGTTTATGCTTGAAAATCATAAAATATTTGTTTTGAAAATAAAATGCTGGATATAAAATATTTATATATATACAGTGGTACCTCAGGATACAAAATTAATCCATTCCGAAACTGAGATCGTATCATGAAAATGTCGTAAGGTGAATCATTTTTCTCCATACAATTACATGTAAAATCAAATAATTCATTTCAACATGAAAAACACACTCAAATTAAAGTTAAGTAATACGTTAAAAAAATTGTAATAACTATAGTAAGGAAAACACTGAAAAATCCGTTTTGTAGTTGTAAATGTATAAATAACCATAATAGAATAATAATTGATAAAAAAAAAAATGTAGTTTTATTTGCACTTTACCTTTGAGGATAGACGATGGTGGTGGAAGAGAGGGAGAAGGGAAATGATACTAAAACTTAACTTACATAACATAATGTAACAATAACTTAAAAATAACTTAACACTAATTTTTTAACTTTTCTGTTTTATATATATATTTTTAATTTTTTATTCACTGCTTTTTGCTTTCTTTCCATCACTTCCACCAGCACTTTCACTGGATAGAAGTCGCTTGGTAAAATATCTATCCAAAGAGGTTTGGCTTTGCCTACTTTTTAAAATGTTTCTAAAATGACTTAGGTAAATGTCATTACTCTGAGCAGCAATACGGCCAGTGTGAATCTTTTCGGGATGTTTCTTTTCAATAAAATCAGTCACTTTCTGATAATACCTCAAGATTTACTTTAGCGAGATCCTTCCATGACGAAGCAAACACACCGACTGAGACCACTGAACAGAAGTGAATAAAAAATGGGGCTGCAAACTAATGTAACGTCATATGGTGAGTTTTTGTTCGTATCGTGGAGCAAAAATATGTTCGAATTTCATGTCGTATCCTGAAAATTTCGTATGCTGGGGCGTTTGTATCCTGAGGTACCACTGTATATAAAAATGGACATGGCAGCCAAACTACACATCTCACATGAATGGTATTTGTGTGTGGTAGTAGCCCCAAATCTCCCATTGTGCACTATGGTGGTTGTGTCTCTATAGCTATAAGGGTGTGGGAGATATGGGGTTTGAAAGTGGTTGACTTCAAAAATATGTGACGCTTCAATGAGAATGTTCCAGTTTTTTCTAGAAACTTCCAGAACCTAGAGGTGAAATTTGGTACACAGTTAGGGTACATCATGAAAATGCACACTAAGAAGAGATTTTTTGAAATTCCTCCATGGGGGAGAGGGAGAGCATTAAGTCTTAACTGGAAGAATGGCTTCTACTGTACTATTTTAGATGCAATTTTTTTGTTTTCAACTATATTTAGTCTTCATTGAGTACTTAGGTGTATCTAATTGATAACATTTCAGACATTGTTATAAATCTTTTTATATATTTTGATTTTTTAACCAAATGTTTGAACTGTTTTAAATTTGAATTTCTTTTTGCATATTGGTTTGATTTATAGAACGATTGTAAACGTTCCAGAAAATTTATCAAATTAAAAACAGTTTGTTTGATTGTCAGCAGTAGGTGTTAAATAACAATTACTATGGTTGTTGAAATATTGAATGTAAATGGGGTTTGCTTGCAAAATCTGCACATGTGAAGTCGTGGGTAACAGCTAGTAATTTTATAAATTAATTACATATAAAACTCATTAAAAATACTTTTTAAACTGAGAAGTCAAAACTCCATTTCTGTACGATTTGTTTACTTTTGTTAATTAAATAAAGAATTATTTATTAAAACATTGAAAATTATATCATTATTAATATTTTCTAATAAAATCAAAGGCTCAAGCAGGAATTTAAGATTCATTTTAATGCACTCTATTATAATTTTGAAGTAAATTATATCAAAGAAAAATAATTCTTTCAACCAGAAATTATTTTTTGACATTAGTTGGGTGTATGTATACTGTCTTTGAAAGTATTTGCAATTAAAAATTTGATAAAAAAAAATAATAAGGATCACTGCAAATAATTTATTTTAAATTAAAAATAGTCAATGACTGAACCAAAGAAATATCAAACAATATTGTCATTAGTCCTTTGTTAATAAGTTACCTATGGTTATTGACTATTCTCTTGCTGAGATGTGAAGATCATTTCTATTAGCACTGTAAGTTTGACTTAGTGTCTTAATTCTTTGCATAACTTTTTGCAAATACTGTACTTTCATTTGGCCATCATATATAAATATAAAAATTCATTGATTCATAAAAATTCAATATGATCATTCATTCAATAATTAACCTTTCATCTTTACAAATTCTACTGATTTTGTTTACAACAGTTTTTATATCTGTCATTTTTTTTATCCATTCTTCTTTCTCTCCATTCTGTCAACATTGGTTGCTTTAAGAATTTTTGGATGACTTCCTACAAAAACAATGTTTTTTGTTAAACAACATAGTTACATTATTTCTAAATATTTTTTTTCTATATAATGTGAACTATTACTGATATTTTTATTAACAAAATGAATATTTGTATTTTATTAAAACTGCATTTCATTTAATTATATACAAATTTTGAAATTATTAATTATTGTAGATAATTATGATTATTTTAATTGTAATGCAGTTTTATTTTTAAACAAAAGAATAATAGTTATGTAGATAATATACTTTAACAATATGAACATGCCAAATATTCTTTAAATTTCTTCAGTAATATATTAAAATTTGTGTCAAAAGTAGAATACAAGTTCTGTTTTTACTCTGGAGTGAAAATGAACAGTCAAACTGAATGATATTAAATGTTAAAGTTGAGAGTTAAAAATGTATTAAAATTAAATATTTTTATTAAGTTGTTTAAATATATCAAAAACTAATTTCTCTTTGAAAGAACAAATTTTGAACAATAGTTAACAATTTATTGCAATTTAGATTAGATAAGACAGTTATTTTATGAAGCCAACAGTCTATGTAGCATTAATTTTTCCAGTAATTTAAAAAATATATTATACTATAGCCACTCTTCAGTTAACAATCTAATGTTTAACAAACACTCAGACTTATGACCAGCTCTCTAGCAAGGGGAATCTCTTTTCTTAATCTTAGTCTAGTTTCTGAAATTGGTCAGTATTCACTACAAGAAGTATTTAGTCTCTAAGATTATATATTTTGTTATAATTTTGTATTTTTGTTGTATGTCTCATTTGAAGGATTCAGTGATTAAAATATTAATCTGAATGTCTTTTTATTATGAAAGAATTTTAATGGTTTTGGTATATTATTTTTATAATTTTTGCTGATTATATTTTTATGTTCTGTAATATGTAAGAGATGCAAATTAAAACAGTTATTGAGTGGAGTTATTGAATTGCCTTTAGATTTTTCCTTTATCCAGAATAAATAAAATGATAAAGCTCTTCATTTTACGACCAATTTGCTTAATATTATTAAATCTAGTTGGTGGAACAGAACTTGATCATTGAGGAGTGACTGTAATTTATATTAAATAGCAATTTCATTTAAATATAGGAATATTTATAAGTTCTAGATAAATTATTCTATTGTTTATGAAACAATTTATTACTTACTTATAAATGAAATAACTTACTTAAACTTCTTAATATTTAGAATTTTTATTCAACATGATGTTAAATTATGTGTTTATTTTTTATATAAGAAACTTTCAAAACTTCATTATCTGAAACTGAGAAGAGGGACACATCTTACTGCTCCAGCGTTAAAAGACATTTTTGTTGGTCCTGAATTAAAGTATTTGACATTCTTAGAATTTGATAGTCTTATGATTGAGGATGATGGCATAAAAAGTATGACAGAATGGTGAGTTAAATTCAAATTCTTTAATGACTATTTTAATTTTATATTTATTTTCTTTGTTAATTTGGAATATGGACAGATATGTTATAAAAAGAATAATTTACTTTAAAATTGGTACATCAAAAGACTAATATTGTAGTATAAAGTTTAATCAAATATTTATGTTGCATGTTTTCTTAATAACAATTTTAATGAAAATATTAATGTTAAATACTTAAAATTTTATGTTGTATTAGTTTCCTGAAGACAATCTTACTCATATTAAATGCATTTTACACTGAATGAAATTTTTCTGCTATATAAACTGTTTAAATTAACATACTCTCTCAATAATAAAGACATTTGTTACTAACAGACTGGCCTTTTGTATGTCTACTGTAGTCTTTTAATACTTTTTATTTTTAAACAAATATTTTGATAAATTACTGCTTTTCACTGTTGAGTATGATAGTTCAATGATTATAAAAGAACTTTTCCAATTGTCTTCTCTTGAAGTGAATAGAGATAAGGTAAAGCTTTAAAAACTATTGAAAAATTTTGTTTTTTGAAAAATCAATAAAATTTTTAAAATTATTTTTTTCTTATGTTTAGAAAATAAATTTTGGTTAACAAAATATTATTATTTTTGTATCTTGTCAAATCTGTTCAATTCACTATCAATATACAATTTGACATATATTTGTTAAATCTAAAATAATTCAAAAATAATATTAATGTTTGTAAATATCTAGAAAGTAAAATATTTATATGATTTTGATATACTTTTTGGTTTAATATTTTTATAATTGTGTAAAATTAATTTTTTAATTGATCATTTCTGTTACCAGTTTCTGTGGATTTTTTAAGCTTAAATTTTTAAATAAGACATTTTAGAATAAAAGTGATTATGGAGAAAAAATGCTATGTACAAACTTTGAATGATGGAATAATACATGATTCTTTTCTTCTGTTTTGTTATACTATAAAAATTTGTTAAGTTTATTCATATAATAATCATAAAATTAACTACAAAGTCTAATAAGGAGAGGGCCAGACATTTGGGTTTGTGATTTGAACAAAACTTGGTAAGCTCATAGCCCTAAACACAAATAGCTCCTTGTGTAAATAATAGGATCCACTTCTCAAGTATTTCTGAAATATGGGCCTCAGAAAGTTGAATGTTTAACTTGTGTGTTTGAAAGTTCACCTCTTCTTGGAACATTGATGGCTGAGTGGATAAATTGTGATGTCATTTTGATGAGACGTAACTCAATTGCGAGTGCTGCTGGTGACTTTTGTCAAGCACTTCACTTGTGACTATAATTCTAAAATTACCAATTTGATTAACAGGTTTTTTTTTTGTTTGTTAAAGAAGACTAACAGCTGGATAATTAACCTTAACAAGAAAACTTCAATTTTAAAGGAAATGCAACATTCTACAATTAAACAGGGAAGACCACCACTCAACAGAACCAAGTCAGTGAGCAAGCAAAACGACTTCATAGTAACAAGTTCCAAGCTAATTACGGATTATAATTTATAAACAGATAAAAATCTACCTGCTACTTCTGAGGAGAATGAGAGTATTAGTGAAGATTTAATTCAACAACACACTCAAGATCATTCAGGTGAGCCATTCTTATCATCTACCTCAGTACAGGACTCAGATAATCTGTTAGACACTTCTTCGATAGTTTTACGGAAGAAAATTTCCAATCTTATAAAAGTATCTAATGATAAAGTATTTAACCAAATTACTTATATTAAGGAGGAATTGAATTTAATCCATGAAAACCTATATGAAACCAAAGAAAGACAAACAAAGATGGAAGAATTTTACTAAATTATATCAACAGATTGACACCTTGCAGATCGAAAAAAACTTCAGACAATTTAAAATGGACAATATAACTATTGAGCATAACCGTAATAATATCATATTATACAATTATCCCATTTTGAGAGCTATTACTAAGAAAGAAATTTATAAATTTATTGTTTTATTATTAAATATTCATAATATGGTTCAAGAAGATATTTTAGAGAGAATTCAGTTAACAAAATTACCTGAATTGACTTTAAAAATAACTTTTAGTAATAATCAACTTCAAAATTCTGTCTTCTTTACTTACATTCGAAAAAAACAACAAAACCAACTTGAAGATTGGGGAGATATCCAGATATCACCAGATCTTACAAAAAATTCAAGAATCAGACGTAAAAACTTACTTTCAACGCTTTATGAAATTCGAAAAATAAATCCACAAGCTAAACTACATAACAATATAATAATAACAGGAAAAGAAAAAATTACATATAATATCAATGAGAAAAGTCTGGTTTATGTAGATTCATTTTTACCATTTTCTAATTCAACAAGTTCTGATAGCTGATATATTATAAAACAAAGTCAAATGCAAAGTCACTCTATTCTTGAAAATAGCTATCCAATCTCTTTCATAAACTGGAATCAGGAACTCAAACATAAAACTTCATTTGTTAATTTTATGCTGGCCAAATATAAACCAGTCATTTTTGCAATGACAGAAACTTGGATTACAACTGACAAATTTTATATATATAACTTCAATAAATTTATGGTAGTAACCACTTTAGCAAGTAAATCAGCAGGTCTAGGTTGCCCAAGAGGAGGTCTTTGCATGTTGATAGAAAAAGACTACTGTAAAATAATCCAAGTAAAAAAATCTATTAATTATATCCTACTTCTTATTTCTATAAACAAAACTAAATTATTAAATAAGAATAATAATTTATTGATAATAATGCTAACTTATGTACCACCTGGTGATATAACTACAATTAATGAAATCTTCAAAAAGATCGATATATGGTACCATATAACCCCGTACATTATTGTACTAGAAGACTTCAATTCCAGAATTGGTGAAATGATGGACATTAAATATAAGTGCTCTAATCATTTAATTCATAATTACCAAAAATCCAAGGTCAAACAGGCTAACGATATGGGGAAAAGATTAATAGAATTAATAACTGAATACAAACTACTTATATTGAATGGATGCATTAAACCTGATTTTCCAGCAGAATATACCTGCTTAACCCATACTGGTAAATCCACAATTGACTACACAATATGTTCTGATCTACTTCTGAACTGCTGTACAGAATTCATGATAACTTCATTTGATATATTGGATCACTTTCCTACAATAACAAAATTTTTATTAACCTCAAAGAAGAAAAGTAATCAATTTAAAAATAGCCTAAAAATAAAATATAAAATGTCAAAATATTGAACAGAGATTGATAATCATACACTTACCATCCCGGAAATAATGGATACTAATAGTGTAAAAATAAACAAGCTAATAATGATAATTTTAAACAACTACATATGCCTTAATAAAAATAAAAGAAACCTTTAAAATAAAGCTAAAGAAATATGGTTTGACTCTGATTGTTACAGAATGAGAACGAAAAAACAAGAGGAATTAAACAAATTTAGGCAAAATCCTACTGATTTTAATTTTGAAAACTACAAAAAAGCTAAACGATCTTACAACAATTTATTGAAAACTAAAAAGTCAAACTATTTTCGAAAAATTGAATTAAACGTAATTAAAAATAATAATGATGGTAAATTATTTTGGAATGTTGTGCAGAGATTTTGTCTGAAACTAAACTCAACCGGAAGTTCTGTCAAAATAGACTATGATACTATGATATTTTTTCAGAAATTCCCACAAATTCATATAGAGTCACCTTTAATAATAAGTAGTGAAGTCTACAACAACATATTAAAATCTGAATTTAATATTATAGAATTGAACGAAGCTTTTAAAAAAACAAAAAGCAAAACAACACCGGGTAACGATAACATTCCAACCGATTTTTTAAAATCGCTACCGCACAATTCCAGACTAAAATTACTGAATTTATTTAACAGTATGTACAAATCTAATAACTATCCTGAATCCTGGAACTCAGCCACTCTCATGATGATTTATAAAAATGGTGATCAATCCTCTCCTGAAAACTACAGACCAATAGCATTGTTATCCACTATATGGAAATGTTTTACTTCAATCCTTGCAAGAAAATTTCAATTATGGATGAAAACTATGGAACTAGAAGCTGAATTTCAGAAATGCATTTATCACAAACAAAGGTACTGAATCAGCTATCTTCACTTTATTAATGATAGTTCAACTTCATCTTTTAAAAAAACATGGAAAAGTTTATGCCTCCTTTGTTGACATTCAGAAATCATTCAATTCAATATATGTTCCATTATTGATATACAACTTGAAAGTCTGTGGAGCAGGTGACCATTTTACTTCTGTAATTCGAAAACTATATTCAAATTATAATATCAGGATAAAACAAGGTAACAGTATCTCTCAATCATTATCTTTGTCCAGTGGTGTTCTTCAGGGAGATGCTTTTTTCCCGTATTTATTCAATTTTTACCTCATTTTTCAGCCAAAACCCTCAAAAGAAGGTATAGATGGATGTAAGCAGGACAACTGTATGTTACCAGTTGCTTTCTCAGAAATTNCTTTCTTTCCTTCACTTCCACCAGCACTTTCACTGGATAGAAGTCGCTTGGTAAAATATCTATCCAAAGAGGTTTGGCTTTGCCTACTTTTTAAAATGTTTCTAAAATGACTTAGGTAAATGTCATTACTCTGAGCAGCAATACGGCCAGTGTGAATCTTTTCGGGATGTTTCTTTTCAATAAAATCAGTCACTTTCTGATAATACCTCAAGATTTACTTTAGCGAGATCCTTCCATGACGAAGCAAACACACCGACTGAGACCACTGAACAGAAGTGAATAAAAAATGGGGCTGCAAACTAATGTAACGTCATATGGTGAGTTTTTGTTCGTATCGTGGAGCAAAAATATGTTCGAATTTCATGTCGTATCCTGAAAATTTCGTATGCTGGGGCGTTTGTATCCTGAGGTACCACTGTATATAAAAATGGACATGGCAGCCAAACTACACATCTCACATGAATGGTATTTGTGTGTGGTAGTAGCCCCAAATCTCCCATTGTGCACTATGGTGGTTGTGTCTCTATAGCTATAAGGGTGTGGGAGATATGGGGTTTGAAAGTGGTTGACTTCAAAAATATGTGACGCTTCAATGAGAATGTTCCAGTTTTTTCTAGAAACTTCCAGAACCTAGAGGTGAAATTTGGTACACAGTTAGGGTACATCATGAAAATGCACACTAAGAAGAGATTTTTTGAAATTCCTCCATGGGGGAGAGGGAGAGCATTAAGTCTTAACTGGAAGAATGGCTTCTACTGTACTATTTTAGATGCAATTTTTTTGTTTTCAACTATATTTAGTCTTCATTGAGTACTTAGGTGTATCTAATTGATAACATTTCAGACATTGTTATAAATCTTTTTATATATTTTGATTTTTTAACCAAATGTTTGAACTGTTTTAAATTTGAATTTCTTTTTGCATATTGGTTTGATTTATAGAACGATTGTAAACGTTCCAGAAAATTTATCAAATTAAAAACAGTTTGTTTGATTGTCAGCAGTAGGTGTTAAATAACAATTACTATGGTTGTTGAAATATTGAATGTAAATGGGGTTTGCTTGCAAAATCTGCACATGTGAAGTCGTGGGTAACAGCTAGTAATTTTATAAATTAATTACATATAAAACTCATTAAAAATACTTTTTAAACTGAGAAGTCAAAACTCCATTTCTGTACGATTTGTTTACTTTTGTTAATTAAATAAAGAATTATTTATTAAAACATTGAAAATTATATCATTATTAATATTTTCTAATAAAATCAAAGGCTCAAGCAGGAATTTAAGATTCATTTTAATGCACTCTATTATAATTTTGAAGTAAATTATATCAAAGAAAAATAATTCTTTCAACCAGAAATTATTTTTTGACATTAGTTGGGTGTATGTATACTGTCTTTGAAAGTATTTGCAATTAAAAATTTGATAAAAAAAAATAATAAGGATCACTGCAAATAATTTATTTTAAATTAAAAATAGTCAATGACTGAACCAAAGAAATATCAAACAATATTGTCATTAGTCCTTTGTTAATAAGTTACCTATGGTTATTGACTATTCTCTTGCTGAGATGTGAAGATCATTTCTATTAGCACTGTAAGTTTGACTTAGTGTCTTAATTCTTTGCATAACTTTTTGCAAATACTGTACTTTCATTTGGCCATCATATATAAATATAAAAATTCATTGATTCATAAAAATTCAATATGATCATTCATTCAATAATTAACCTTTCATCTTTACAAATTCTACTGATTTTGTTTACAACAGTTTTTATATCTGTCATTTTTTTTATCCATTCTTCTTTCTCTCCATTCTGTCAACATTGGTTGCTTTAAGAATTTTTGGATGACTTCCTACAAAAACAATGTTTTTTGTTAAACAACATAGTTACATTATTTCTAAATATTTTTTTTCTATATAATGTGAACTATTACTGATATTTTTATTAACAAAATGAATATTTGTATTTTATTAAAACTGCATTTCATTTAATTATATACAAATTTTGAAATTATTAATTATTGTAGATAATTATGATTATTTTAATTGTAATGCAGTTTTATTTTTAAACAAAAGAATAATAGTTATGTAGATAATATACTTTAACAATATGAACATGCCAAATATTCTTTAAATTTCTTCAGTAATATATTAAAATTTGTGTCAAAAGTAGAATACAAGTTCTGTTTTTACTCTGGAGTGAAAATGAACAGTCAAACTGAATGATATTAAATGTTAAAGTTGAGAGTTAAAAATGTATTAAAATTAAATATTTTTATTAAGTTGTTTAAATATATCAAAAACTAATTTCTCTTTGAAAGAACAAATTTTGAACAATAGTTAACAATTTATTGCAATTTAGATTAGATAAGACAGTTATTTTATGAAGCCAACAGTCTATGTAGCATTAATTTTTCCAGTAATTTAAAAAATATATTATACTATAGCCACTCTTCAGTTAACAATCTAATGTTTAACAAACACTCAGACTTATGACCAGCTCTCTAGCAAGGGGAATCTCTTTTCTTAATCTTAGTCTAGTTTCTGAAATTGGTCAGTATTCACTACAAGAAGTATTTAGTCTCTAAGATTATATATTTTGTTATAATTTTGTATTTTTGTTGTATGTCTCATTTGAAGGATTCAGTGATTAAAATATTAATCTGAATGTCTTTTTATTATGAAAGAATTTTAATGGTTTTGGTATATTATTTTTATAATTTTTGCTGATTATATTTTTATGTTCTGTAATATGTAAGAGATGCAAATTAAAACAGTTATTGAGTGGAGTTATTGAATTGCCTTTAGATTTTTCCTTTATCCAGAATAAATAAAATGATAAAGCTCTTCATTTTACGACCAATTTGCTTAATATTATTAAATCTAGTTGGTGGAACAGAACTTGATCATTGAGGAGTGACTGTAATTTATATTAAATAGCAATTTCATTTAAATATAGGAATATTTATAAGTTCTAGATAAATTATTCTATTGTTTATGAAACAATTTATTACTTACTTATAAATGAAATAACTTACTTAAACTTCTTAATATTTAGAATTTTTATTCAACATGATGTTAAATTATGTGTTTATTTTTTATATAAGAAACTTTCAAAACTTCATTATCTGAAACTGAGAAGAGGGACACATCTTACTGCTCCAGCGTTAAAAGACATTTTTGTTGGTCCTGAATTAAAGTATTTGACATTCTTAGAATTTGATAGTCTTATGATTGAGGATGATGGCATAAAAAGTATGACAGAATGGTGAGTTAAATTCAAATTCTTTAATGACTATTTTAATTTTATATTTATTTTCTTTGTTAATTTGGAATATGGACAGATATGTTATAAAAAGAATAATTTACTTTAAAATTGGTACATCAAAAGACTAATATTGTAGTATAAAGTTTAATCAAATATTTATGTTGCATGTTTTCTTAATAACAATTTTAATGAAAATATTAATGTTAAATACTTAAAATTTTATGTTGTATTAGTTTCCTGAAGACAATCTTACTCATATTAAATGCATTTTACACTGAATGAAATTTTTCTGCTATATAAACTGTTTAAATTAACATACTCTCTCAATAATAAAGACATTTGTTACTAACAGACTGGCCTTTTGTATGTCTACTGTAGTCTTTTAATACTTTTTATTTTTAAACAAATATTTTGATAAATTACTGCTTTTCACTGTTGAGTATGATAGTTCAATGATTATAAAAGAACTTTTCCAATTGTCTTCTCTTGAAGTGAATAGAGATAAGGTAAAGCTTTAAAAACTATTGAAAAATTTTGTTTTTTGAAAAATCAATAAAATTTTTAAAATTATTTTTTTCTTATGTTTAGAAAATAAATTTTGGTTAACAAAATATTATTATTTTTGTATCTTGTCAAATCTGTTCAATTCACTATCAATATACAATTTGACATATATTTGTTAAATCTAAAATAATTCAAAAATAATATTAATGTTTGTAAATATCTAGAAAGTAAAATATTTATATGATTTTGATATACTTTTTGGTTTAATATTTTTATAATTGTGTAAAATTAATTTTTTAATTGATCATTTCTGTTACCAGTTTCTGTGGATTTTTTAAGCTTAAATTTTTAAATAAGACATTTTAGAATAAAAGTGATTATGGAGAAAAAATGCTATGTACAAACTTTGAATGATGGAATAATACATGATTCTTTTCTTCTGTTTTGTTATACTATAAAAATTTGTTAAGTTTATTCATATAATAATCATAAAATTAACTACAAAGTCTAATAAGGAGAGGGCCAGACATTTGGGTTTGTGATTTGAACAAAACTTGGTAAGCTCATAGCCCTAAACACAAATAGCTCCTTGTGTAAATAATAGGATCCACTTCTCAAGTATTTCTGAAATATGGGCCTCAGAAAGTTGAATGTTTAACTTGTGTGTTTGAAAGTTCACCTCTTCTTGGAACATTGATGGCTGAGTGGATAAATTGTGATGTCATTTTGATGAGACGTAACTCAATTGCGAGTGCTGCTGGTGACTTTTGTCAAGCACTTCACTTGTGACTATAATTCTAAAATTACCAATTTGATTAACAGGTTTTTTTTTTGTTTGTTAAAGAAGACTAACAGCTGGATAATTAACCTTAACAAGAAAACTTCAATTTTAAAGGAAATGCAACATTCTACAATTAAACAGGGAAGACCACCACTCAACAGAACCAAGTCAGTGAGCAAGCAAAACGACTTCATAGTAACAAGTTCCAAGCTAATTACGGATTATAATTTATAAACAGATAAAAATCTACCTGCTACTTCTGAGGAGAATGAGAGTATTAGTGAAGATTTAATTCAACAACACACTCAAGATCATTCAGGTGAGCCATTCTTATCATCTACCTCAGTACAGGACTCAGATAATCTGTTAGACACTTCTTCGATAGTTTTACGGAAGAAAATTTCCAATCTTATAAAAGTATCTAATGATAAAGTATTTAACCAAATTACTTATATTAAGGAGGAATTGAATTTAATCCATGAAAACCTATATGAAACCAAAGAAAGACAAACAAAGATGGAAGAATTTTACTAAATTATATCAACAGATTGACACCTTGCAGATCGAAAAAAACTTCAGACAATTTAAAATGGACAATATAACTATTGAGCATAACCGTAATAATATCATATTATACAATTATCCCATTTTGAGAGCTATTACTAAGAAAGAAATTTATAAATTTATTGTTTTATTATTAAATATTCATAATATGGTTCAAGAAGATATTTTAGAGAGAATTCAGTTAACAAAATTACCTGAATTGACTTTAAAAATAACTTTTAGTAATAATCAACTTCAAAATTCTGTCTTCTTTACTTACATTCGAAAAAAACAACAAAACCAACTTGAAGATTGGGGAGATATCCAGATATCACCAGATCTTACAAAAAATTCAAGAATCAGACGTAAAAACTTACTTTCAACGCTTTATGAAATTCGAAAAATAAATCCACAAGCTAAACTACATAACAATATAATAATAACAGGAAAAGAAAAAATTACATATAATATCAATGAGAAAAGTCTGGTTTATGTAGATTCATTTTTACCATTTTCTAATTCAACAAGTTCTGATAGCTGATATATTATAAAACAAAGTCAAATGCAAAGTCACTCTATTCTTGAAAATAGCTATCCAATCTCTTTCATAAACTGGAATCAGGAACTCAAACATAAAACTTCATTTGTTAATTTTATGCTGGCCAAATATAAACCAGTCATTTTTGCAATGACAGAAACTTGGATTACAACTGACAAATTTTATATATATAACTTCAATAAATTTATGGTAGTAACCACTTTAGCAAGTAAATCAGCAGGTCTAGGTTGCCCAAGAGGAGGTCTTTGCATGTTGATAGAAAAAGACTACTGTAAAATAATCCAAGTAAAAAAATCTATTAATTATATCCTACTTCTTATTTCTATAAACAAAACTAAATTATTAAATAAGAATAATAATTTATTGATAATAATGCTAACTTATGTACCACCTGGTGATATAACTACAATTAATGAAATCTTCAAAAAGATCGATATATGGTACCATATAACCCCGTACATTATTGTACTAGAAGACTTCAATTCCAGAATTGGTGAAATGATGGACATTAAATATAAGTGCTCTAATCATTTAATTCATAATTACCAAAAATCCAAGGTCAAACAGGCTAACGATATGGGGAAAAGATTAATAGAATTAATAACTGAATACAAACTACTTATATTGAATGGATGCATTAAACCTGATTTTCCAGCAGAATATACCTGCTTAACCCATACTGGTAAATCCACAATTGACTACACAATATGTTCTGATCTACTTCTGAACTGCTGTACAGAATTCATGATAACTTCATTTGATATATTGGATCACTTTCCTACAATAACAAAATTTTTATTAACCTCAAAGAAGAAAAGTAATCAATTTAAAAATAGCCTAAAAATAAAATATAAAATGTCAAAATATTGAACAGAGATTGATAATCATACACTTACCATCCCGGAAATAATGGATACTAATAGTGTAAAAATAAACAAGCTAATAATGATAATTTTAAACAACTACATATGCCTTAATAAAAATAAAAGAAACCTTTAAAATAAAGCTAAAGAAATATGGTTTGACTCTGATTGTTACAGAATGAGAACGAAAAAACAAGAGGAATTAAACAAATTTAGGCAAAATCCTACTGATTTTAATTTTGAAAACTACAAAAAAGCTAAACGATCTTACAACAATTTATTGAAAACTAAAAAGTCAAACTATTTTCGAAAAATTGAATTAAACGTAATTAAAAATAATAATGATGGTAAATTATTTTGGAATGTTGTGCAGAGATTTTGTCTGAAACTAAACTCAACCGGAAGTTCTGTCAAAATAGACTATGATACTATGATATTTTTTCAGAAATTCCCACAAATTCATATAGAGTCACCTTTAATAATAAGTAGTGAAGTCTACAACAACATATTAAAATCTGAATTTAATATTATAGAATTGAACGAAGCTTTTAAAAAAACAAAAAGCAAAACAACACCGGGTAACGATAACATTCCAACCGATTTTTTAAAATCGCTACCGCACAATTCCAGACTAAAATTACTGAATTTATTTAACAGTATGTACAAATCTAATAACTATCCTGAATCCTGGAACTCAGCCACTCTCATGATGATTTATAAAAATGGTGATCAATCCTCTCCTGAAAACTACAGACCAATAGCATTGTTATCCACTATATGGAAATGTTTTACTTCAATCCTTGCAAGAAAATTTCAATTATGGATGAAAACTATGGAACTAGAAGCTGAATTTCAGAAATGCATTTATCACAAACAAAGGTACTGAATCAGCTATCTTCACTTTATTAATGATAGTTCAACTTCATCTTTTAAAAAAACATGGAAAAGTTTATGCCTCCTTTGTTGACATTCAGAAATCATTCAATTCAATATATGTTCCATTATTGATATACAACTTGAAAGTCTGTGGAGCAGGTGACCATTTTACTTCTGTAATTCGAAAACTATATTCAAATTATAATATCAGGATAAAACAAGGTAACAGTATCTCTCAATCATTATCTTTGTCCAGTGGTGTTCTTCAGGGAGATGCTTTTTTCCCGTATTTATTCAATTTTTACCTCATTTTTCAGCCAAAACCCTCAAAAGAAGGTATAGATGGATGTAAGCAGGACAACTGTATGTTACCAGTTGCTTTCTCAGAAATTTTTGTAATTTTAATTGGATGTGTTTTGTGTTTTTTAAAAGGACTCTCTGTAATTTTCCACGACAAGCAGCCTACAAAGAAAGGTCAGTCGCCGAGAATGTGTTAGTCTTGGAACACAAAAAATAAATGGTGATCCTTTTTGGACAGTTTTGTCTTCAATTTTATTAAAAATATTTCTCCATCGGACGAACATTTACAGGATGAACAACATTATGTTAATTTAAGTGTACAGAAACGTTGCTGTTGTTCCAGCAAAGATCTTATTTTTACTTTACTGAGTGCCTAGTAGGTAATGTGCAGATTACCTAGATACTCTGCACGTTACTTAGATAATTTGAGAAATGGAACAATTTTTGCAACTTTAACGGATCACCCTAGTTAATCTGCAGATTAGCTAGGTAATGTACACATTAACGGCTTTCAAACTTTAGCGGTAACATATATATATATATATATATTAAAATTGCAATGGCTTGAATCTACATCAAGCAGCTCCAGTGCCTAATATCTTATCCATTTAGCCATCACCGTTCCGAGAAAAGGTGAACTTCTAAGCACATAAGCTAAACACTCAATTTTTAAAGGCCCATATTTCAGAAACACTTAAGAAGTGGTCTTATTATTTGGACAAGAAGCCTATTTGTGTTTGCCCACTGTCATAATATGATTTTTACAAAAAATCAACATTTTTATTACTGAATCTGATTTAATAATAAATGTTCTATTGAGTGATGCAAAAAAAAAAAAAAAACTCTTAGTTTTTGATTTGTTTTTTCAAAACTCAGCTCATTAGAATTAATCATATTAAATTACTATAAATTTATACATTTTATAATGTTTTACAGCTGTACAGAATTGAGATATTTAGGTTTACAGTGGTGTTGGAAAATTACAGATGTTGGTTTAGATTTCATTGTTACCAATTGTCAGTAAGTATATCAATAAATAGTTATTATTAGAGAAATTAATGTTTTAACCTCAAAATGATATTTTATAATTTTTTTGTAGTAATCTGAGAGGAATAGATTTACTTGGATTATATCGAATAACTGGAACTGCTCTTTTAAAAGTGCCTTCAAATATGAAGCATTTAGGATATTTAAATTTAGAACAATGTAATGAGGTAAACTTTGCATTCAATGTAAAAAATTATAAAGTTCTATAAGAAAACATTGTTATTTTTTAAAAATCTAATAAACTTTTATTTTCTTATATTGGAAAAAGCACTAACAGCAATGTATGTAGATATTTATTATGAGATATTTTAATTTTTTTTTTACTACTAACTTGTTTTACCACTAAGTAATAAATTTTTAAAACTAACAGAATCTTAATTTTTAGCAAAAGTTTTTACACAATAGTGTAGAAACTTTTGCTAAAAATGAACATTCTGTAGTAAAAAATGTACTTTTTAAAATATTGTATTTGTTGTATCACAATAATAAGACATTATAACATAATATTTAATGAACTATTTGACAGTTTTAGTAATAGTGTGTTAAATGCCATACTTATACTCTTTTTAATACTATTATTTTTTAGTTAATATATCGCAATATATATAATTGATTGTAGATGAAAAAAATAGAAATTACATTGGAACCTCGCTTAACAAGCATAATTTGTTCCGGAACCTTACTCATAATGCAAAACAATTTTTCCCATAGAAATTAATTTAAAATATGATCATGCGTTCCATGCCGAAAAAAATACTCCAATACCGTATTTACTAGCATATAAGATGAGGTTTTTATTCATTTTTCACTGTATCAAAAACCTAGGTCATCCTATACGCTCAAGCAAAGGATCCTTTGCATTTTTGCAATAATTTTTATGAACTGTGTATAGTTCATGCTGCCATTATAGCAGAGGTCTATCGAGGTCAAGGTGAATGTCGCTTTTAAAGAGATAATCTGAAAATAGCTGGTCACTTAGCAATGATTATAAATGTAGTTATTTCATATTTGTTAAATTGGCATTTTTAATGAATATTTGCATGTTTTGAATCATTAAAAATAAACTTTTTCCGGTTATGTGCATTATAATCTTTTGGTTATGCTACGTGGGTATCGTGTGTGGAAAAGCAATCTTCAAAAGCTGATAGCAGTCATTCAAGAAATACTGCATTTTAAATTCACTTAATAGATCAGAGGATGATGCTTTGTGGAGTAAGAGTAAAAAAGAAGAGAATTGTAAGCTTCAGAGGGTGAGTCCGAGTAGACAAAAGGTGATAGCGTTGAGAAAACATGTTTGTTTGCCTTAATACGTGCATTTGATGATAATTTATTTGTGATTAAATGAAATAAAATTAGAATTGTATTAATAAATCTAATTTTCTTTATTTTGATCTTTAAAGTCACACCTCATCCTATATGCGAGATCGTCTTATATGCACGTTATACGGTATTTTACGTATAATGTTTATTCAAAGAAAATGATACAATATACATTGTTAAGGAGCGTAAATCATCATCACCTTTTCTTCTAGCATGGAATGAACTAACCTGGAATGTGAATTCGATTTGCAAAAAACACAAAAATCACAGATAATAGCACGATGGAGCATGCACACAATCCGGGACTTCCTCTCTCCTCGTCACTCGTTATGCGAAACTTTGCTCGTTAAGTGAGTCATTTTTTAAAAATTTGATTTGCTCGTTATGCGAAACACTCATTATGTGAGATGCTCATTAAGTGAGGTTCCACTGTATATTATTGTTTGTTGTTCAAATAATTACAAAAATAATTTATTAATTGCAATTTTAAATTGTTGTTTAAATACAATAAATGATTTTATAGTTATTTAAAAAGCAATTCATAATTTACTGGACATAATTCAATGTATATAGTCTAACTAGGATTTATTCAAATATAAATATCTTTCAAATGATCTGGATAAATCTTAAATATAAGTTAGATAATATTAATGATAGCTGATGATAACAATTTTTCAAGTTTAAATCTTAAATTTTCTAATTATTAATAAATTCATTGGAAAATTTACATCATTTATTAATATTTGATTACAGGATTATTAAACCAACGTTTAACATGTGATAAAAAACTAGTATATAACTTTGAGATGAGTACTTTGATCTTATATATATCATTATCAGATTCTTACAGTAACATAAAATGGAATATAATATTACCATTTTAAAATGAAATGTCTGAACATTTGAAATATTTAAATTAAGTAAAGGTTGAATACAAAAATAGAACCATATTTATCCCAATTTAAAGTTTATTTATATATTTACAGTTTAGTCTAATTGAACAATATTTAGCTAAAAAGCAAATTTTAATATGTTTTTTTTTTTTGATTACCTTTTAGAAATTTAAGACCTTCAAACAAATAACAATATCAGGATATATAAAACAGAAATTTACATTAATTTCTTCTATTTTATCAATTACAATATGGTCTTGTTTATGTATGAGTTGTTTGTCAGCAGGTATTAAATAAAATGAAATTCTGCATAGATTGTGCTCCAGCTCAAGTAGTGCCAGATGGATTGACTAGACACTTGGGGAACCATTTACAATTGACAGAAAAATGTTAACATGTGTTTAAAACATTTTACTTGTTTTTAAATGTAATGAATGACATTTTAGTCTGTTTCTGAATATACAGAGAAACATTTTATTATGGTGGTTCAGTGATATAAAGTTTCTCAATTTTGAGTCAATCTAATGAGACTAGGATGTAAAATGTATCATAAGATCATCATATGACTCATCAGTGAGCTGTTAATAGGGCTCAGCATACAATGTTTCATAAACTTACAAGAGTGGCTGGGTGGAAGAGCAGCTATTTTCATTAGCTTCAAATGAAAGTGGCTTTTCTAGTATAAAGAAATTCATTGGTCATGAGCAGATAAATGCAATATGTGTTTTTTTTTCTATCTTTTTGAATGTATACAATAAATATACATTATTTATTTATTTTGTTGTAAATTAGTAGTTAAAAAGAGAGTAAAAATGGATATTAAAAGATAAGATAGTATCAATAGGGTCAAGCAGTATGAAATTGTGATGAATGTACAGCTCCTTATTATGTGAGGGATTTTCATATGATGGTATAAGTTTACTGTTATGATACTGCCTATTGAAACAAACTTTCATTTATTTATTAAACAAAATTGAAAGTGACATAGAAATGGAAAGAGGGCCTGTAATATCAATACATTTTCAACTTCTGTTTGCACTTCAATTTTATGAATGATGTAACTTTTACAAAGAAGCCTTTCCTGATGTGTAGAAAATAACAAATAAGCTTGATATGATTCTGCTCCTGCAAAACACCATCAAAAGTTATTCATAATCTGTTGCTACTATACCACACTGCAAGTAAAATTATTTGTATGAAAAGTTCCTTAAATATAATAATACTTATTCATATTATTTTTGATATATTTAAATTAATTTGATAATTTATTTTTATCTTAAAATGTGTGGATTGAACAAAATGTGTATTGCTCATCAAATATTTGTGCCAGGTGTTTGCAACTCAAGAGTTGCTCAACCACTACATGATTTTGTACAGAAAACTCTGGGAGTAGAGTGGCTCACAAGAGATGCTCAAGATTCAATGACTGGGTTAACCTAACCATTTGTTATCTGTGAAAGTGTGAATCCACACATAACAATCCTGTATACAAAATCCTACTGTAATATGCTTCTATAATATATTAGTTACTTAANATTATTATTTTTGTATCTTGTCAAATCTGTTCAATTCACTATCAATATACAATTTGACATATATTTGTTAAATCTAAAATAATTCAAAAATAATATTAATGTTTGTAAATATCTAGAAAGTAAAATATTTATATGATTTTGATATACTTTTTGGTTTAATATTTTTATAATTGTGTAAAATTAATTTTTTAATTGATCATTTCTGTTACCAGTTTCTGTGGATTTTTTAAGCTTAAATTTTTAAATAAGACATTTTAGAATAAAAGTGATTATGGAGAAAAAATGCTATGTACAAACTTTGAATGATGGAATAATACATGATTCTTTTCTTCTGTTTTGTTATACTATAAAAATTTGTTAAGTTTATTCATATAATAATCATAAAATTAACTACAAAGTCTAATAAGGAGAGGGCCAGACATTTGGGTTTGTGATTTGAACAAAACTTGGTAAGCTCATAGCCCTAAACACAAATAGCTCCTTGTGTAAATAATAGGATCCACTTCTCAAGTATTTCTGAAATATGGGCCTCAGAAAGTTGAATGTTTAACTTGTGTGTTTGAAAGTTCACCTCTTCTTGGAACATTGATGGCTGAGTGGATAAATTGTGATGTCATTTTGATGAGACGTAACTCAATTGCGAGTGCTGCTGGTGACTTTTGTCAAGCACTTCACTTGTGACTATAATTCTAAAATTACCAATTTGATTAACAGGTTTTTTTTTTGTTTGTTAAAGAAGACTAACAGCTGGATAATTAACCTTAACAAGAAAACTTCAATTTTAAAGGAAATGCAACATTCTACAATTAAACAGGGAAGACCACCACTCAACAGAACCAAGTCAGTGAGCAAGCAAAACGACTTCATAGTAACAAGTTCCAAGCTAATTACGGATTATAATTTATAAACAGATAAAAATCTACCTGCTACTTCTGAGGAGAATGAGAGTATTAGTGAAGATTTAATTCAACAACACACTCAAGATCATTCAGGTGAGCCATTCTTATCATCTACCTCAGTACAGGACTCAGATAATCTGTTAGACACTTCTTCGATAGTTTTACGGAAGAAAATTTCCAATCTTATAAAAGTATCTAATGATAAAGTATTTAACCAAATTACTTATATTAAGGAGGAATTGAATTTAATCCATGAAAACCTATATGAAACCAAAGAAAGACAAACAAAGATGGAAGAATTTTACTAAATTATATCAACAGATTGACACCTTGCAGATCGAAAAAAACTTCAGACAATTTAAAATGGACAATATAACTATTGAGCATAACCGTAATAATATCATATTATACAATTATCCCATTTTGAGAGCTATTACTAAGAAAGAAATTTATAAATTTATTGTTTTATTATTAAATATTCATAATATGGTTCAAGAAGATATTTTAGAGAGAATTCAGTTAACAAAATTACCTGAATTGACTTTAAAAATAACTTTTAGTAATAATCAACTTCAAAATTCTGTCTTCTTTACTTACATTCGAAAAAAACAACAAAACCAACTTGAAGATTGGGGAGATATCCAGATATCACCAGATCTTACAAAAAATTCAAGAATCAGACGTAAAAACTTACTTTCAACGCTTTATGAAATTCGAAAAATAAATCCACAAGCTAAACTACATAACAATATAATAATAACAGGAAAAGAAAAAATTACATATAATATCAATGAGAAAAGTCTGGTTTATGTAGATTCATTTTTACCATTTTCTAATTCAACAAGTTCTGATAGCTGATATATTATAAAACAAAGTCAAATGCAAAGTCACTCTATTCTTGAAAATAGCTATCCAATCTCTTTCATAAACTGGAATCAGGAACTCAAACATAAAACTTCATTTGTTAATTTTATGCTGGCCAAATATAAACCAGTCATTTTTGCAATGACAGAAACTTGGATTACAACTGACAAATTTTATATATATAACTTCAATAAATTTATGGTAGTAACCACTTTAGCAAGTAAATCAGCAGGTCTAGGTTGCCCAAGAGGAGGTCTTTGCATGTTGATAGAAAAAGACTACTGTAAAATAATCCAAGTAAAAAAATCTATTAATTATATCCTACTTCTTATTTCTATAAACAAAACTAAATTATTAAATAAGAATAATAATTTATTGATAATAATGATAACTTATATGCCGCCTGGTGATATAACTACAATTAATGAAATCTTCAAAAAGATCGATACATGGTACCATATAACCCTGTACATTATCATACTAGGAGACTTCAACTCCAGAATTGGTGAAATGATGGGCACCTAAATATAAGGGTTTTAATCATTTAATTCATAATTATCAAAAATCCAAGGATAAGCAAGCTAACAATATGGGGAAAAGATTAATAGAATTAATAACCAAATACAAACTATTTATATTGAACGAATGCATTAAACCTGATTTTCCAGCAGAATATACCTGCTTAACCAATATTGGTAAATCCACAATTGACTACACAATATATTCTGATCTACTGCTAGACTGCTGTATGGAATTCATGATAACTTCATTTGATATATTGGTGTATTATAAACAACTCAACTGACCAGATAATATGGTACAAATAACTCTTTATTAATACAACTAAACACTTCTACATCCAGCTGGTTACCTCGAGCTCTCTCGCTCGCTTTCCGTCCCACCACCTCGGCACCTCTCGATTACATTTCCTTTGTTTTAAATTGTTGACATATATTATATTACATTTAATGTTTATCTAAATCATCAACATATATTACATCTCCCCCTTCTCTTTTACGGCTGATAATCCAGATACCGTCTTGGGACTCGTATAGGTCTGCCACTACGGGTTTTAGGAAGGTCCTCTTCACCCGGTGGAGAGTTTTGTTTGATTTCTAGCATTGGTTCATAAAGTTCCCTATTCCCGGATCCTGTTCCATTTTCCGTCCTGGGAATTTCTTCCACGGGAGTATTCTGGTTGGATGATCCAGTCGATTTCTCCTCATCGACGATCTGCGGTTCATCTTCCTAGGAGACTGTCTGGGGAATACACAATGGGTGTAAATGTATTCTGTTCCTGCGGAACGTGCCTCTTGGAGTTTCGATAATGTAAGATCGTGGAGTATGGTGAGCCTCCTTCACCTTTCCATATGTTCGCATATCTGACACCCAGACTGGCTGTCCTAACTTCAACCGTGGAAGAGTTCTTACACCGTGGCGTCGATCAAAATAGGTTTTCTGTTTATCTGTCTTCCCTTTTTCCTTCCTCCTTACTGAAGCGAAATCAACCAAACGAGGTATCAATTGGTGATTATTTGATGGCAACGGTGTTCTCAATTTTCGGCTCATTAGCAGTTCTGCCGGACTATAGCCATTCTCTAATGGCGTAGATCTCATTGCTAGAAGCATCAAATAATGATCCTGCGACTCAGATTTCAAGTAATGACTTTTGAAATTTTTCACCATTGATTCAATGAATCCATTGCTTTGAGGGTATCTCGGACTAGAAGTTATACTTGAAAATTTATACTTTTCTGCAAATTTACGGTATTCAGAGTCGACAACCTGGGAAAATTGGGTGCCATTGTCACTTCGTACAACCTCTGGAATTCCATGTCTTGCGAAAATTGATTTCATGTGGTTAATTACTGACGACGACGACAATTCCTCCAATCTGGCAACTTCAAAATATCTTGAAAAGTAGTCAGCCATTATGAGATACCAATGGCTTTTTAGTTTTAGAAGATCTACCCCTACAATTTGCCAAGGTCTCTCAGGAAATTCGCTTGGGATAAGAGGCTCTTTATGATACTTTTGGTATTGGATGCATATTGAGCAGTTCGCAATCAATTTCTCAATGTTCGCCGATAAGCCTGGCCACCAAACAGACTCTCGAGCTCGGGCTCGACACTTTGTTATTCCAAGATGGCCTTCGTGTAACCTGTTCAATATTTCTCCTTGAAGCTTTTCTGGAATTATAATCCTGGAATCTTTAAATAAAAT